ACAATGTTATAAACCAATGTTACCTTAATAAAACTTTTAACATATACAGTGTCTTATATTTGAAAGTTGATTAGGGAGTAATCTTAAATGTTTTCATCACAAGAAAAAAATTGTAAATGTGTGGTGATGAACCTTGACTAGATTTGTTATAATGTCCATTTTGTAATATGAGTAAATATCAAATCAGTGTTTTTAACACCTGAAACTAATACAGTTATATGTCAATAAAAAAAATGAATAGACTTGTAGAGCAGAGTTGGTAAATGTTCTTATTGGTTCCTAAATATGAAGATAATTTGATTTCTATAGAGTTGCATTCAATTATTTAGATTTTTGAAGCTCTACTTTAAAAAGTCAAATGTTTATTTGATTTATTATTAAAAAAATTGGTCTCGTTTGACATTTTCACTGAGTCTGGTCACTGAGTCCAATGAAGATAAATATTTTATCTTTGTAGAATTTAAAAATGGCAGTCTGTATGAGTTGATTTTGTTATACTATCAAGAAGTTCAGCTACAGTCATGTTTTAAAAAAATCTAAAAATCCCCCAAATAAAGTTAAACTCAGTTTAATAAGATGCTGCATGGTACATTAAATGAGCTTTATATTGTATTTAGATTACCAGCTTAAATTTTTACTTACTATATTTGATGAATTTTTTTGTAGTCACATTTCTGTTGTAATTAAATGATTATTTGTCAGAATTTGGATTTTATTTTTTGGTATAAAGTTAAAAATTGATTTTAAATTTTTATTGAGTTAACACTGGCTTATAACATTACCTGTTTTAACTGTCTGGTTTTGTGATTTGTCTTCTATATGCATTACATCATGATTATGGCCAACAATCTCCTCTCTACCAATCACCATAGAATTGGTGGCATAAAGTTCTAGGAATATAAATTGCCTTATCCCTTCCTTATTTCCCTCCTTTCTTCCTGTAGTCTTAGTTCTAAAATAGTCTAGAAATTTGATATAAATATCAGTACCAAAGGTTTTTAGTCTAGATTGACAATACCGACTTTGACCTGGATGCCTGGCTCTTGATTATTGTCCTGAATTCAGTTCTTTAGGTAGAGTCATAAATTTATCTATCAATATTAATAATTTGATTATTTACCCACCATTGTGGTTTTTTTTGGCGTGTTGAATATAGTCAAATTTATGGTCAGCAAAGGCAATCACTTGTAAAAGGATCTAAATTTAAATCCTTTCTTAATTTGTCTTAGAACTTAAAAGTTTTGGGCAGTTTGGTGGACATGCAGAGATGTCTCATGGTAGTTTTAAAATGACGTCTTTTTGGGCCTCCCCGGTGGTGCAGCGGTTGAGCGCTGGGTTGCGAAGCTGCCTGCAGCCTCTGCAGTGCCGGTTCGATCCCCGGCTGCTCCCCGGCCACCGGAGGAGGGTCCCACATGGCGCTCAGACCTCTCCTGTCGCCCTTCGGTCCTTCTGCCTGCTTTGCTCCCAGTTCTGGCTCTGGTGAATTCTCTCACCCTCCCGCGCATAATAATAAAATAAATAAATAAATTAAATAAACAAAACAAACAAACAAACAAACAAATAAATCTTAAAAAAATAAATAAAATGACCTCTTTTTAATTGGAATGACTATTCGAATCTTTTCCAATGCATTTTTACATTTTTAAAAGTAATAGCTTTATTGTGATAGCTTCACATACCAAAGAATTTGTTGTTTTAGAAGTGTACAATTCAGAGATTTTTGTTAAATCAGCAGTTTTGAAAACACTGCTGTGGTTCTTACGGGTTTTTTTTGAGCTCTCCTTTCTTGAATCTCTCCCTTCAGCTACCACCTTCTTTTGGTATTACATCTTTGTTCTTAGTTTCCACTAATTATCAGCAGATTATTCTATCATTTTGATACAGTGCCCTAGGGCATAAATTGCTCAACAGTCTGATCCAATTAAATTTGGGCAAGGATTGTTTTTGAGGCCAGCTGTTGGCTGCAGATCTGCTCTTCTTAGCAGTCTCTTTCCCTGGTTCTTTCTGGTAATCTAGCTGGCCTGTTATTTCACTTTTTGCTCTTAATTAAGAGGAGTTATTGTTTTTGAGAGTGCCCTTGGGCTTGAACTTACCTACATTCTGTTTCAAATAAAGGCTGTTACTCTGGGGAGAACTTCAGAGCTGTCTTTTCTTGTAATCATCTTCTCCTCCTAGGCAAACTCTCTGAACCTCTATTCTGGGCACAAGTCTGGGCTGTGACCTTAGGCTTGATTGCTTCTGACGTGAACTTTGTGCTTCAAGCAAATGGGATGAGTGCAGTTCAGATAGCAACATTCTCAGCCTCCTGCACTGTGATAGTCTGTCTTATAAGTGGAGACTGGCAGTGTCCAGAGGATACTAAGTATCCTCTGATTTCTTGGCCATACTTACTAGGCCTGAAGCCTCTTTGGCTTGGAGTTTGAGGGGGTGAAGAAGGCTGTGGGTTCCCTTTTTCTGTGACATACCTTAAACCTTGATTAAGAGCTGAGAGGGAGCTTTGTCCTCTTGGCCATACCTACCTTCAGTGGGACTCTGCCAGCTTGAACTGAGCCTTTGAGGGGGAGATGGGTTATAGCATAAATGCCATGAGATGTCTGAATACCTGGTTTTTAGATTTCCTTTATGTGAATATTGCCCTTAGGACAATTTCCAGAGAATAAAAAAAAATTTTTTTGTAAAAGTTGTTTTTTTCAGCTTTGCTTTTATCAATGGAGAGTGGGTATGTGAAGTAATGTTTCCTGTTATAGCAGAAGTGAAACTCTCCAAAGTATTTAGTTATAAATCTTCTTAATGTTCAAAGATGTATTTCCCCTTTAGGAAATTACTATCACAGATGTCTGATTGTGCATGTGTATATATATATGTGTATACACACACACATACATATAGAGGTTTTGGTTAGACATGGAACCCAGAACCAGCAATATCCAGAATAGTTCTTTGCACTGTCCTGTTAAACTAGGGACTTTTATAATCACTATATATATAATGAGCTAATGATTTTATCCTCAGGGTTTTTATTTATTTATTTATTTATTTATTTATTTATAAAGATTTATTTATGCATACAAGAACTGGGGTACAGGCCAGAGGTGTGGGGAGTGAGAGGATTCACAAGAGACATAGTGGGGAACAGAACAGGCAGACTGACTGAAACACACTGCTGAGGGGAGCAGCGGGCGAGACAGGAGAAGTCTGCTATGCCATGTGGGTTGCCGGCCAGGGATGGAACTCGTGCAGCAGAGGCTGCGGATTGCTTCATAGTGCAGTGCTTAACCCCTTGCGTCACCAGGGAGGCCCCCTCAGGGGTTTTATTAACCTAGTTTTCTGTTACTTACAAGTATGTTTGCTTGATTGCATTTTGTACTTCTTTGGCTCTATTGATAGGGAATAATACATTTGATATTTTTTGCATTCATATTCTTAGACTCATACAATTTATAGATATTTAAGTTGATATACAATTAAATTCTAAATTTTTAAAACAGCATCATCTAGTCTTAAATTATATTTTGTAAAAGAATTTTACTGACATCTGATTATATACTTCAGTCATATAAAATTTGAATTAAAATTTGAATGGACCCCATTCTGTATATCCTTCTACTTAATGGGGGAATTCTTTCTGATGCAACCTTTGATTTGTTTATTAATATACCCAGTGCCATCACACATTGTGTACTTGTCTTTTGCCTTTACTTGTGCTTACTGTTCTCGATTCCTATAAATTTGCTGATATTCCTGAGAGGGAATCCAGCTTAGAGCAAAATAATCACTGAGTCATCTCAGATGTCATTGGAAAGTAAGTCTACTATTTTTTCTTGGGTCAATTTTCCACTCTAGGTTTAGTAGAGGACAGAGGAAGGGTCATGTTGTGCAATACATTTCTCACTCTGCCTAAGGTATCATTTAGATGCTTTTTTTTTTTCCAAGCAGGTTCATAGATGTGGCAGTTTCTTACAAAATGAGAGGGTAGATATAACAGATATTAGAACCAATTTACTTGTACTCTGTGGTTTAGTAATATAAGCATTTCTTAACCTCTGGCTCTAACTCTGTATAAGTAAAATTGAGGAACAAGTTGACAGGGTCAGTCCTGTAGTAAGTGTGCTGCTAGAAGTCCCCTTTAATGTGACATTTGCTTGTTTACTACTGTAATGGCGTATAACATCTGCCTAAAATAGTGATCTGTTGTGAAAGTTTTCTCCCATAATAGACTGTATCTGGTTGCTTGACGAATTTCAAATGGTAAATACACATATCTAGTAGAGGATGTAATGGTAAAATACATACCTATGTTCCTGCAATATTTTTGAAGGCTCTTTGGTTGCCACTAAGGAAGAAAATGCCTTAGTCTGGAGCTCTGATGGGAAATATATCCTTTTATTCCATCTGAACTTTGTATGAATATATTACTTAAAAAATGGAGAAGCTCTAAAAGGTTAGTAAAATAAAGCAAGTAGTATCTTTGTGAATGTAATTATAATTGAATATAGTTTGACAGCCCTTCTTTGGGTGTCTTTTCACAATTGGTAAACTCTCCATGCTGATCGATGGCTAAGGTGGTAATTATATTCTAGATGGTAATTATATTCTAATACTTTATTGTTCCCTCCCACTTCACATGATTTAGAAGAGTTGACAGGTTCTCTTGGACATGAGCTATGTTTTTGATTTGTAATGCAAGTTGATAGAAATATTGCTTCAGTAGTTAGATGGTGTCTTAGGAATATTCTGCCACTAACGATATCTAAAATAAGAGTGTAAAAGTTACTTTAATCTGTATAGCTGGTAAAGAACTCTCGTCAGTTGTTTTTTTTTTTTTTCAAATTCTTGTACCTGAAGTCCAATTAATTTCATTTCTGATGTTTCATTGAAAAGAAAAAAAAGCAGCTTTGTAAATCTCTTTAATAATGAAGTGATTATGTTCAAGTTTTAGGTTATTGTTACATCAATGTATTCAAAATTGTTAAAGGTTTCCTTTCTCTTTCTGCCCTTAGCCGGCCTCAGAAAGTGTGTCTGTGTCCATTTCTACCATTGCATCCTCTCCATATCTCTACCCACTTGTACATAATTCAACACCCAGCAGAGGTAAGATTTTAAAATACATTATTTAAAATATTATGTTAATACATAAGAGGAAACACACAGATCAACATGCTCATCTCTGCTAGCTCTTGAGCATTTTCTGGAAAAAATTCATAGCAAATGCCTTCTTTTTGAGAAAAATATTTTGTTTTGTATATTATATGATAACATAGTGTCATGTGCTTTGGAGATATAAAACTTATTTCATAAAAACTGTTATTCAGTAGTATAGAGATTTGAGCTCCAATAATTTCACATGAAGAAGTATTGTGATTTTGTGAACACAGCTAGAAAAATCATTGCATTCTTTATTTTGTTCATAGATTAGATCCTTGAACACTTTGTTGTTAAAATAGAAATTATGTTCAGCATTTTAATGTAAAATGAATGTGTAAAATGGTTAAAATTTCTCTTAGATGCATGGAATATGTTCATTTGATGACATACAGATAATATATAAAGTGCTTTTTAAATTAATACTTCTTCCTATAATGATAAGAATTATGCGTGTGTGTGTGTGTATGTGTCTGTGTGTGTGTGTGTGTAACACTTAATTTTTTTTTTTTTTTTTTTTTTTTTTTTTTTTTTTTTTTTTTTTTTTAAATATTAAATTTTATTTTTATATTCCCCCATACAATTGCAAACGCCCCATTCTGACCCCAATCCTTCCCCTCCCGCCCCCCACCCCCAAAAAGTGTCTCTGGTTCATAGTTTTTTTGTTGATTTTGATTTTCACTTTCTTATATTCATTTTCCTGGTCCCTTATTTAAGTTTTCTAGATTCCTGCTATGAGTGAGACCATCCGGTATTTTTCTTTTTCTTTTTGGCTTATTTCGCTGAGCATGATCCCTTCCAGTGCCATCCATGTTGCTGCAAATTGCATGTGTTTATCTTTTTTGAATGCTGAGTAATATTCCATGGTATATATGTACCACATCTTCTTGATCCAGTCATCTATTTTTGGGCATTTGGGTTGTTTCCAAAGCTTAGCTATTGTAAACAGTGCTGCTATAAACATAGGGGTGCAGGTGCTCTTTGGAATTGATGTTTCTGTGTCCTTTGGGTAAATACCTAGGAGTGGAATTGCTGGATCATATGGAAGCTCTATGTTTAGTAGGTCCAGAAATCTCCACACAGCTCTCCATAGTGGTTGGACCAGTTTGCACTCCCACCAACAGTGCACAAGAGTTCCTTTTTCTCCACATCCTCGCCAACATTTGTTGTTGCTAGTTTTTTTAATATGTGCCATTCTCACTGGTGTGAGATGGTATCTCATGGTAGTTTTGATTTGCATTTCCCTGATTACAAGTGATGTTGAACATTTTTTCATATGTCTGTTGGCCATTTTCATTTCCTCTTCAGAGAAGTTTCTTTTTAGCTCTTCTGCCCATTTTTTGACTGGATTATTTTCTTTGTTGTTGCTGAGTCTCATCAGCTCTTTGCAGATTTTTGTGATCAGTCCTTTATCATTAGTGTTGGGTGCAAAAATGTTCTCCCAGTTGGTGGGGTTTCTCTTTGTTTTTGTTATTGTCTCTTTTGCTGTGCAGAAGCTCTTTAATTTGATGTAGTCCCAGCTGTTTATCTTTCTCTTCACTATCACTGCTTTGGGTGATGTGTCTGTAAAGATGTCTTTGATGTGCAAATCCCGTAGTGTTTCGCCTATATTTCCTTCTATGTATTTTATGGTTTCAGGTCTTATGTCTAGTTCTTTAATCCATTTTGAGTTGATTTTTGTGTATGGTGTGAGGTAGTGGTCAAGCTTCATTCTTTTGCATGTAGCGACCCAGTTTTCCCAGCACCATTTATTGAACAAACTTTCTTTGCTCCAATGCATAGTCTTTGCTCCTTTGTCAAAGATTAGTTGACCATAAATCTGTGGGTTTATTTCTGGATTTTCTATTCGATTCCATTGGTCTGTATGTCTGTTCTTGTTCCAATACCATGCAGTTTTGATGATTATGGCTTTGTAGTATAGTTTGAAGTCTGGGAGTGTGATGCCTCCATTTCCTTCTTTTTTTTTCAGTAGAGCTTTGGCTATTCGGGGTTTTTGGTGATTCCATATGAATTTCATCAATAATTGTTCTATTTCTTTGAAGAATGCCATTGAGATTTTGATTGGAATAGCATTGAATCTGTATATTGCTTTTGGTAGGATGGCCATTTTAATAATGTTTATTCTTCCAATCCATGAGCAGGGGATGTCTTTCCATTTCTTTGTGTCTTCTTCTATTTCTTTTAACAGTGTTTTATAGTTTTCTTTGTATAGGTCCTTTACCTCTTTTGTTAGATTTATTCCCAAATATTTGATTTTTTTTGTTTCGATAATAAAAGGGGTGGTTTTTTGATTTCTTCTTCTTCAGATTTATTGTTTGTGTATAGGAAGGCTACTGACTTTTGCGTGTTGATTTTGTATCCTGCCACTTTACTGAATTGATTGATGAGTTGAATTAGTTTTTCTGTGGAGATTTTGGGTTCTCTATGTATATTATCATATCATCTGCAAATAGTGATAGTTTGACTTCTTCTTTTCCTATTTGGATTCCTTGGATGTCTTTCTCTTGTCTTATTGCTCTGGCTAGGACTTCCAGTATTATATTGAAAAGCAGTGGTGAGAGTGGACATCCTTGTCTTGTTCCAGATCTTAATGGAATTGCTTTCAGCTTTTCACCATTGAGAATGATACTGGCTGTTGGCTTGTCATAGATGGCCTTTATGATGTTGAGGTATGTTCCTTGTATCCCAAGAATTTCAAGGGCTTTTATCATGAATGGGTGTTGCACTTTGTCGAAAGCTTTCTCAGCATCTATTGATATTATCATATGGTTTTTATATTTCTTTTTGTTGATGTGTTGGATAACGTTGATTGATTTTCGGATGTTAAACCATCCTTGTGCCCCTGGAATGAATCCAACTTGGTCGTGGTGAATTATCTTATGGATACATTGTTGGATTCTGATAGCTAAAATTTTATTGAGGATTTTTGCATCAGTGTTCATTAGGGAGATTGGCCTATAGTTTTCCTTTTTTGTGTTGTCCTTATTCGGTTTTGGTATTAGTGTAATGTTGGCTTCATAGAACGTGTTTGGTATTGTCCCTTCCTTCTCAATTTTTTGGAAGAGTTTGTGAAGGATAGGCACTAATTCGTCTCTGAATGTTTGGTAGAATTCATTTGTAAATCCATCAGGTCCTGGGCTTTTGTTTTTGGGGAGGTTTTTAATTACCATTTCAATTTCGCTGCTTGTAATTGGTCTGTTTAGGTGTTCTATTTCTTCTTTATCTAGCTTTGGGTGATTGTAGAGTTGTAGGAATTTGTCCATCTCCTCTAGATTGTTGAACTTGTTTCCATATAACTGTTCATAGTAGTTACTGATTATTCTTTTGATTTCTGCTGTGTCCGTTGTGATTTCTCCTCTTTCATTTATGATTCTGTGTATTTGTGCTTTCTCCCTTTTTTCCTTTGTGAGCCTGGCTAGGGTTTGTCTATTTTATTTATTTTTTCAAAGAACCAGCTCTTGGTTTCATTGATCTTTTGGATTGTTTTTTTAGTTTCAATTTCATTTATTTCTGCTTTGGTTTTTATTATTTCTTTTCTTCTACTGGTTCTGGGTTTTTTTTGTTGTTCTTTTTCTAGATCTTTGAGCTTCGAGATTAGGTTGTTTCTTTGAGTTCTTTCTTGTTTTTTGATGTGAGCTTCTATTGCTATATATTTTCCTCTTATTACTGCTTTTGCTGCATCCCATACATTTAGGATATTGGTGTCCTCCTTGTCATTCAATTCAAAGAATTTTTTAATTTCTTCTTTGATCTCCTCGTTAGTCCAGTGGTCTTCCAGTAGTGTGGCTTTTAATCTCCATGAGGTAGGATAGTTCCTTGCCTTCTTTTTATGATTTATTTCTAGTTTGATGCCTTCGTGGTCAGAAAAGATGGTTGGTATGATTTCAATCTTGGTGTATCTGTTGATGTTTGTCTTGTGCCCCAGTATGTGATCGATCCTGGAGAATGATCCGTGTGCGCTTGAGAAAAATGTGTACTCCGTTTTTTTTGGGTTTAGTGTTCTATAGATGTCTGTTAAGCCAAATGCTCTAGGTCCTTATTTAGAGCTTTAGTTTCTTTACTTATTTTTTGTCTTGTTGATCTATCCATTGTTGATAGTGGTGTGTTGAAGTCTCCCACTACATATGTGTTTTCTCTGATGTCTGTTTTCAGAGAGGACAACAGTTGTCTGATATATTTTGGTGCTCTTTCGTTTGGTGAGTATATGTTAATGAGTGTTATTTCTTCTTGAAGTATTGTCCCCTTAATCATAATGTAGTGACCATTGGGTCTCTTTTTATTTTTTTGAGTTTGAAGTCTGTTTTATCTGATATAAGTATAGCTGTTCCTGCTTTCTTTTTTGGCCCATTTGCTTGTAGGATTGTTTTCCATCCTTTGACTTTGAGCCTATTTTTATCTTTTGTAGCTAAATGTGTTTCCTGGAGACAGCAAAAGGTTGGGTTTTGTTTCTTAATCCAGGCTGCAACTCTGTGTCTTTTTATTGAAGAGTTTAGTCCATTTACATTTAGAGTTAATATTGATATGTTAGCATCTGTATTTGCCATTATGTTTGTCTTTCCTTTGATTTTATTTATTTATTCTTTTAATAACTTTTTTTTTTTTTTTTTGGTCTTCTTTCGTTGTTATTCGTCCCTCTGAGGTTCTGGCTTTAGGATTCCTTGTAGTATTTTTTGGAGTGGGGGTTTAGTCGCAATGAAATTCCGGAGTTTCTCTTTGTCTGGGAAGGTCCATATTCTTTCTTCATGGAGGAAAGAGAGCTTTGCGGGATAGAGTATTCTTGGTTGGCATCTGTTTTCTTGGAGTCTGTTGACTATGTCCCTCCACTCTCTCCTTGCCCGTAGTGTTTCTTCAGAGAAGTCTGATGTCAGCCTGATTGGTTTTCCTTTGAATGTTATCTGTTTCTTCCCTCTTGTCAGCTTCATTATTTTTTCCTTGTCCTGGATTCTTGGGAGCTTTACTATTATGTGTCTTGCTGTGTTTTTCCTTTCGTCGTGGAAGTTTGGTGTTCTTCTTGCTTCTTGTATATCAATTTTCAGCTCCTTCTTCTCATTTGGGAAGTTCTCTTCAATTATATCCATGAATATTTTCTCTGTTCCTACATCTCTCTCCTCTCCTTCTGGAATTCCTATAACTCTTATATTTCCTTTCCTCATGGAGTCAGATAGTTCCCGAAGTCTTTCTTCATTCTTTTTCCTTCGTACTTCTCTTTCCTTTTCTGTTTTGGTTCTTTTTATTTCTGTGTCTTCAAGATTACTTATTCGTTCTTCCATTTCATCTATTCTGCTTTCATTGCTTTTCCCAGAGTTCTTTAGTTCCTCCATTAATTCTTTGATCTCCTGCATTTCTCTTACTTCCCTCTTTAGGGACTCAATTTCCTTCTTCTGATCTATCACTTTTTTAATCATGGCAATTTTAAATTCTCTTTCTGGAAGGCTCAGAAGTTCTTCCAAGTTGCTGTCGTTGCAATCTGGGGAGTGGTTTTCTTTTTGTGGTGTGCTTCTTTCCTGAGGAGTTTTTAGGTTGCGTGTGGTTCTTCTACTCCCTACTGTCTGTTTTCTAATTTGTCGTATGCGTTGGGACACTGTGTTGCTCGGACTGACTGACATCTTGGGTGAACTTCTCCGCTCCCCTCTGGCTCTTCCAGGAGCCATCTCTGTCTTCTGGGGGAGCTTTCTGCTGGTTTTAGGCAGTTTTTACTGAAGAAATGTCCCTGTTCTCAAATGGCGAAGCGGGATGCAGTCCCTGCGCCTCCGGTTTCAGGCACACTCTTCTGCGCCCCCGGTCTGCCCCGGACGTGGGTGCCTGCTCCCTCTGTGGGCTCAGACTGCTGGTCGGAAGGGGCCTGGCGTGGAATAACTTCCCGGCTGGCCACTGGGTCCTCCAGAAACCTTCTGCCCTTTTCAAGCAGACTTAAGAAATGTCCTGTTTTATAGGGTGTTAGTGACTTTTTTTTTCTGGTCGCTAGGTGGCGCCAGAGATCTCTCCTATTGTCCTTGGGGGCTGTTTTTCGCCTCCCCCCACCCCGTGGGACAGAGAACAGAGCGGGAATGGTAGGGTACACCTCAACAGCTTTGGGGTGCTGTGTCTGCCTTGTGCCCCACCGTCGTGGAGAAACCACGCCCCGAATTTTCGTGCCCCGGGTCTCAGTTCAAAGCCCTCAGGTCCAGGACGCGGGCTGTAGCCCAGTTCAGTGGCGCGGGAATGGCGCCTTTTGCACCCGGCTCCCGTGCCTGGGCGCCTGGTTCCTGCTTGCTCAGGGAGGGACCTTCACCTCAGTGAGGACCTCCGTGCGTCTCCCCGCAAGCCTAGGTCGTCTCCCCGCAAGCCTAGGTCGCAGGCGCGGGGACCTGGGCAGCCGCGATCCCGGTCTGCACTTGCTTTTCAAGCGCGCCAGGCGCGCCGCGTTTCCCGCGCAGGCTTACCGGCAGCCCGGGCTGTGTGCGCGTCTCCCGGGGTCTTTGTTCTTCTCTAATGGCGCCCGGAGCCGTTCGCTCACCGCCGCGGCGGATCCTGCAGGGTTCGCCTCAGCTCCCGTTCACGGGGTGTGGTGGCTGCACTAGTTCCTTTCCGCTCACAGTCCCGCTTGCTGCGTCGTTTGTTCTTGTCGTTGTTTTGGTTTGTTGTTTCCTCCTCTCTGCCGGTCGGAGAGTGCCGCCTCTGTGGGCGGGGAGGGGAGCAGGGTTCTGCGCTTCCCTCCCTTCTAGTCCTCTTTTATGGCCACTTTCTTCTTCGGGCAGTTCGCTGGCGTCACCCGTTTATCTTCCGTGTCCCAGTTCTCACTGGGACCTGCCGCTTTTCCTCCCTATTCACTTTTTTTAATGGAGATCTTACTCGCAGCGTCTCCTCGCCGCCATGTTGCTCCGCCTCCCCTGATGTAATCTGTAACACTTAATTAACCATAGTAATGAAGATGGCAGGGAGGAAGGACTTAGGTGACCATGACTTGTAATAAAAACAAAACTAGGCAATGTGTGGTACAAAATAGGTTTAGTATAAGCTGACATTTGAACTCCCAGCATTTTAGGAATTCAGAGCATCATAGATCGAATCAGGCTTTTGTAGAAGGAATTTTTTCCTTATATTTCTGAAGCCTGTTCAACTCGAAGACTTCTATAAAGATCTAAATTATATTAAGTTGCTCTTTTTCTAAATGAGACACTTATTCTTTTATTGCACACTGTTAAATATTTCCTCTATTTGTTGGGTAACATAATTTTCTCTGTTAATCACATGCTTTGTCAGGGTTGTGACAACTTGGTCAACATCATTATTTTAATACATTTAAATTGGTAACATGGTGCAGCTTAAGTTTATATAAAAGATAGCTTACTAGTCATAAAAGTTCTGGTAACACTAAACTTTATATGGCAAATGCTGTTTTCATTTTATAGTATGCATATATGTTGCCTTTCATTATTGGGTGGATCAGATATAAGATGACTTTTATTTTTTTTTATTCCCATCCCCTTCAGCATGTAATTTTATTTGCTTGGGTCTCTCCATTCATTTTAAATACAATCAGATCCATTTGTTATTGTTTCTATTCTACCTCCTGTACCCAACATCCTCATTGGTTTTAATTTTTTATGGGCGGTATGTAAAGCATTACTATGTTTCAGAGTCAAAGCTATAGCCAAAGAGATATTCCAAGAAATGGCTGTCCCTTAAACCCCTAGCCCATATTTTGTGTACCCCCCCATTTATTACCTTTCCCCACAATTCCCTATATTTAAGTAACCTTTGGAATTTCTGGTTTATGGTCCCCTTGTTTTTTTTTTTTTAAAAACAAATGAGCAGATTTATGATTTTTATTATATTCCCTGTTATAAGAAGGGTGGTAAGTCCTTTGCAGTTTTTTAATTTATTTATTGTTATTGAAGTACCATTGTTCCAAACCCTTGCCAGTGTTTTGACAGTACAGAAATCCCCCCCTCTGTTGTAGTTACCATGGCACACACATCATCGAACCCCCCAGAAATCCTCCACCAAAATCCACCTCCCTCTCTTTTTTTCCTGTCCCTCTCCCACTCTGAAAGCTGTAGATCTATAGTAAGCTTTCAAGGGTTGATTTTCACGTTTACCTTGTTAGACCCTTTGTTTGGTTTTCATATATACCACCTATAAGTGACACCATCTGGTATTTATCTTTCTCTTTCTGTCTTGTTTTACTTAGCATAATCCTTTCCAGCTCCATCCATGTTGCTGCAGATTGTGTGAGTTTATTGTTTTTTGATTGCTGAGTAGTATTCCATTGTGTAGATACACCACATCTTCTTGATTTACTTACCCGTTTTTGATCTCTTAAATTTGTTCCCATATCCTGGCTATTAAAAATAGTACTCCTATAAATATGAGTGCAGGTTTCCTTTTGAAAAAACATTTTTGTATTTTTGGGTAGATACCTACCTAGTAGTGGAATTGCTGGGTCATATGGCAGATCCTTTTTGATCTTTTGAGAATCTCTGCACAGCTTTCCATATAGGCTGGACCAGTCCCACCAATAGTCCCTTTTTTCCTACGCCAGCACTTGTATGTTGCGAAACATAATTACTATTGAAATGAAATGTTTATCAGAATAAATGATTTAATTTAAACAAAATTTACATTTTGCACAATTTTGCACTTATAGATTAATGTTATCTTTTTTGATCGGTAAACCTATAAATTACCCAAGTAGAGTAAAAGTATACATTTATATTATGCTTAATAGTGATAAACCAGATAAACTACAGCTTTTTTATTAAACTGATAAGAACAGATACAACACTTATTCTGAGAAACAAAAAGCCAGGAGGCGATTTGTTTTTTATTAAATGCAATATCTAGTACAAGACTTGTAAAAATTACATATAAAGTTATGAATCTGTTGTCATCATAGAAGTTTCAATAGTGTGTTTGTATAAGTAAAAATCTACATTTTAATTAATTTTAATTATTTTTAAATTAATTTTTAATTAAAGGAAAGCAAAGTGCTTCGGACAGTTCCTCTGCTAGCAGCGTGCCTACCCCAGGACAAGTGCAAGGTCAAAATTGGCCGTCGCTTCAGTGAAGAAAGGTATGTTAACTTTTAGGGCAATGTAAAATAATTCTTTTCTATACCTATTCTTAAAAATGGTTTCCTTTAGCTTGTCCCTTAGTACCAGAACATGATATATTGAAGTAGTCAAAAAATTTAAGTTCTACCTGCTCTCTCAAAATAAACACAAAACATCCCTAAAAGACACAGATTGAAATGGAATTAAACAGTCATGGCATTATCTGAATTTCATAGTAGTATACATGGAGCCTAATAAGTCATACGTGTTTACTGTATGTTTTTGTTAAAAGTACCTTCAAGATGGCAAAATACTTATGTTGGATGTAGTGAGTTTTTTTTTTTCCTGTGATACCTTATATAGTGCTTACTTGGTAAGTTATTCATTGATGGATTTGAAACTAAAGCTGATTAAGATTTTTCAATATTGATTTGGTAATTGAGTGATTAAAGTAGGCTTTTATTAGAGGACCTCATGTAACCCGATCAGTTGTAGATGGAGTTTAGAAGTACTTATTTTCAATTTTTTGCTGTAGTGAATCAGAAAGCAATTGTGTTTTGTATATTAACCCTGTGGCACTATCTAAATTCATTTATTAGTAATAGAAATAGTAGTTGTAGAAAGTGTTTTGTAGATTCACATGAGCATTCTATGTAAGTAGTATTATCATGTGTAAATAGAGTCATGTATACTTCCTTTGTAACCTTTATGTAATATGGAGAACCCTCAAGTAGATTGTGTGTTAGGAGTATGAAGGGCCATGTCGTTACTTTGACCTCAGTCTCAAAGGATATTATACGGTGTGACATGGGCTGCACTTTCTCGGAGATTTTATTTTATTTTTTTAAGATTTATTTATTTATACAAGAACAGGGGTACAGGCCAGATGTGCGGGAGGGTGAGAGGATTTACCAGAGACAGAGCGGGAAACAGAACAGGCAGATGACTGAAATACACTGCTGAGGGGAGTACTGAACAAGACAGGAGAGGTCTGCTGCGCCATATCCTGGCCGGCTGGGATCGAACCTGCGCTGCAGAGGCTGTGGACAGCTTCACAGTGTGGTGCTCAACCACGTGCACCACCAGGGAGGCCCCTCTTGGAGATGTTTTGAGTGAGTGAAAAAGATGCTGTTTGTCTTAATTCAATTCTTGTTACTTGCAGAGATTATCTTGTTGATTATTACATCTCCAGTGCCACAGTGCTTTGACATGTATTTTAATGATGTTCAATCATAATAATTTTTTTTTTTACCTCTCCAAGCTTATAAAGATTTTTTTAAAACCTTTCAGAGATCCCGAACTTTCAGCTATCTGTCGGAAGTCTGATACATTAATATTATATCCAGGGGCTGAAGCTGCTAATTTGGAAGAATTTATATTAGATTCTTCTGTTTATCCTTCCACAATCATCATCATTGATGGTACATGGAGCCAGGCTAAGGACATTTTCTATAAGAATTCCTTGTTTCGACTTCCCAAACAGGTAAACTAGTATTTTTACATAGAATAATTATGAATGCATAATTATGTATGTTGTATACATTTTCTGTGAGGATACATGCATTTTAAGGAATTTAATGGCATTTGTCACCTGTTGAGAGGGCCTTGATTCTTGACGATGGCAAGAAAAGAATTCAAAGCCATGGTCAGGAAGAACAAATCAACCATGTGTTTATGCACAGTACTGTTGGGAGCAGCTGGTGTCTGAGGACTAACATCTGCCCTAATGGGGAGTGATTTTTGGTGTATATAAGGTGTGGGGCTGCTCACTCCATCCTTTTCTGGGATTTTCCAATCTGGGTCTATGCTCCCCCTCCTTTGGTGGAGGAGGAATTTTAGTGCTTGCTTAGCAGTTGATGAAACTATTGTCCCCCACAGGGGGATTAAAACTTCGATGCTCATTAGGGGTGGGTGTATGCCAGGGTGATTTTATTTATTTATTTATTTATTTATTTATTTATTTATTTATGCATACAACAGCTGGGGTATAGGCCAGAGGTGTGGGGATGGGGGGAGGTGAGAGGATTCACTAGAGACAGAGTGGGGAACAGAACAGGTGGATTGACTGAAATACACTGCTGAGGGGAGCAGTGGGTGAGTCAGGAGAGGTCTGCTGTGCCATGTGGGTAACTCCCTGGCTGGGGATCGAACTCATGCCACAGTGGCTGCAGATAGCCTCACAGTGCTGTGTCTTAACCCCCTGAGCCACCAGGGATGCCTGCCATGGTGATTTTAAAGTCATTCCCTTTGTCTACTTCCTAGTCCCTGTTTTATTGACCCCTGCAGGTGCTTCCTTGTTTGCTGGATATCCTGGCAGCTCTTTATCTTAGGCACCACCCTCTACCTTAACTACCTAATACTATGACAAGATTCTAAATTGTAATTATGTTGAAATAACTTTGAACTTACAGAAAAGTCTCAAGAATAATAAAAAGGATCCTAAAGTATTGATATTTTGCCATTTTTGTCTATCAGTCTCTCTTTCATTGTACAGTTATGCTTTCTGAACTTTCTGAGAGTAAGGAAGACATTCAGATTTTACTTTTTGAAATTGAAATTTGCTAGTACTACCCCAGCAAGATGGTCTTTTCCTAAATTTTTTTTTTGTCCAAATTAAAGAAATAGTTATTTTAAATCTCACACAGTTTATAAAAACTCTGATGTGTTGAGACAGTTTCATCTTAATACACTTGGGGAATATGAACCATCTTAGAAATAATAATATATGTGGCTTTTTTAGAGTCTCATATATCCAGCATAAATATATGAACATAGCTTGGATAGAGAAATGTGTTATTAGAAATTGTGGAAATATAAGAATGAAATCTGTACATTTAGTCTTTCTTAAAAAAAGGTTTATATATACATATATAAACAAAGATAAGTAAGTTGAATTGAAAACGGGATTACTTTTATAAGTAACTTTAGATGTGTATAAAATTATAAGATGATACTTATAGTGATGTGTGGTAAAGTTTGAATTACTTTCTGTATCTGTTTAATATAACTTCCAATTTTTGAGAAATTGCCTATTCATACTATTCTTTTAGTTAAATAGCAACCCTATTCCACAGCTTTTCTGGGAAATTACATGTGATCCCCGCTTTAATAAATACAAATAACTTATAAGTAACATGCCTTTTTTATGTGTAATGACTGAAATCCGACTCTGACTCAAACAAAAAGAAAGTTTATAGACCACGTACCCCAGATTCTTTAAGTGGGTAACAGTGGTTTCTGGTTTGGCTGGATCTGTTTCTCAAGCTGTGCTCTTTCTGAGATTTATTTCCCTTTGTGTTGGTTTAATTTTCCCTCATCAAGGAGTGGGTTTCCTCCCTGCCACTTGAAAGTGTTGGTGGGAAGCAGCAGATTAGTCTCTTCAAGGTTACATTTATCCTAATGAAGAGGTACTATCTCTTTCTGAGACTAGATCCAGGTAGTCCTGACTTTGGGCTTAGGGTGAATGGTGATACCATTCGGGAATCAGGGAGAAGTCCTTTAGAGGACATGACTGTTATCGGAAGGACAATTTAAAAATATAACTGGGCAAACTAAAAATCTTACAGATAACTGCAGCCTACTATATATCAGTGTTCACTTGTAAAAATGCATGCTTGTTTATACATTTCTTGGTCCATTCAAAGTTAGCACATTGTGTAAATATTTTAATAATTTGGTCTTACAGTCTTTTTCACCATGTAAAACATAAAAATGTAAAAGGAAAATCTAGCTTAGTACTTGTCTCAGTTTCCCAAATCTGTAAATCAAATCTATAAAAACATTAACACCTGATCTTAGCCATAAGGCCAAGAAGTGATTATAGTTTGGTTTAATTTGGTTTTATTTCTAAGTGTAATTAGGCCTTTTCTCTTTTTTGCATGAATTTATCTTAGTTATTTCTGTTCATTTAGTTGATACATTAAGTGTCTGTAGTGTATAAAAATTTTACTCCAAATACTAAGAAAATGACAGAAAGAAAGCAAAAGTCAGAATTAAAATACAAGGTTTTGCTTTTTCTACAGAAATGAAAATACAGCTCTCCTCCCCCAAATAAGCAAGTAACCATATGTGAACTTCATACTTATGTAATTGAAGAATGAAAGAATTGTAATGCAAGTCCATTAGCTCGATCCCCTTTTAATCTGGATTTCTAACATAGCCATACCATTTGGCAGTGAATCTCTTCCCTCAGTGGAATTTTACACATGAGGTTCTTTGACATTTGCTAGGAACAATTCCAAGGTGAATATGGAAATATTTGTAGTGGCTCCTGGCTTTCTTCTTAAATTTATTTCCATCGACTATTTGCATATCCTGCTCTACTGCCTTTGAAACTTCCACTAAAGCTTAATTTCTCACTTGATAAGCAGAGTACTGTTTGGAAGCACATACGGGCTAAAACAATTTTCATGAAAACTCTTTTGTCCACATAGACCTATTATGAAAATACCTAATCGATTGCCAAATTCAGGTGTGCCATTATCATTTAATTTTATCCAAAACTTGAGTTTTCTTTATTCTGTCATGAGCATTGGGAGTTGACTTACTTTCCCTCTCTCCATCCTCCACAAGAGAAGCTCCCCCCCACTTCTTTTTACTTTACAAATTTAATACATAAAAGAATCGGATGAACTAGGGAATAATACAGCCTCATCAAGATGTGGATTTGAATTGCCTGTGTTACTTAGTGGTTGTTAAGTGGCTTCTGTACTGCACCTTCCAACAATATGCTTTAAATTAGTGCCACAGCAAAATAGCTATTTTATATATCATGAAACCTTACTGTCCCAGGAGCACAGCAGGAACTCTTGAATGTTTGATGCAGAATGCCAAAGGTTTACTGTATCAGTGATGCTCTTTCTTCACCTGTGCTTACCTTTTAAAGTTCTGTTGACAGAATATATCCACACCTTCTGGATCTTTCTGGCTCATGCACTGGGGTGTTATGTGTTACTTCCAGGCTATGCAGCTGATCTCCAAGGTTGTAGATAGCATTATATTTACATACAAAACTTGAACCAACTTGCTTCTTATGGATGTGTGATGCCAGATGCTAGATCATGAAATGATAGAAACTGTGGTCTTCTTACTGGATGTAAAAGGGTAATTTAAGAAAGTTATCAGAGATTTCTGTATGGAATTTCTTGCCTTCCTGCTTCCATCTGTTCCTTATTGAGTTCTCAACTGTGAACTCATTCTTTTTCTGGGAGAAACTCTCAAATTCCTTGGCAGCTAATAGTATTTGAACTGGAAGGAATCTTAAAGGTTAATAAGTTATCAGCATTTTAGAGGTGAGGAAGTGAAAGTCCAGCACTAAATGATTCCTCTATAGTTGAGCAGTTAAGGGGTGCACTAGGGATAAAATTTGTGTCTCTTGTATTCCAATTCTACATATCATGCTATTCTTAGAATAGTATAGTTAAAAAATTAGATTTGCTTTATTTTTTATTAGTACTAGTACAAGTGTTATTTTATACCTGATTTGGAGGCTGATAGGACAAACATTATTGTAGAACCTTTATGAACCATCAAAGAAGAGAATTTCATCTCTCTTGCTCTTGTTAGTCGAAGACCTGAATTTACCTTAAAATTAACCCAAATTTATGATTTATGTCACAAGTCAATTGTGTAACAGTACCTTCAATTTAATGCTTTTTTTTTTAAACTGGAGAAACTGTACTTTTACTGAAATATAATTGACAGAACATTATTTTAGTTTCAGGTATACAGCATAATGATTCGATATCTATATACATTGTGAAATGATTGTCAGGATAAGTTCATTTACCACCTTTGCTTTTGGATGCAGAGGTGGGGATGTGTTCTGCCTCCCCTCTCAAAGAGGCCTTCCTGGAGGAGGACCTACAGCAGCATTCGGGAGTTAGTTACACATATCAGGTCCCACTCTTAGAACTACACAGAATCTTCGTTTTAGCAAGATCCTCAGGTCATTCTTCTGCATACTCATGTTTGAGAAGCAATGATGTAACAGGTATTTTAAATTTAAATGTTAACCACAATCTTTAAATTCATATCTCAAAAGTCTACAATTTAGTAGATTTGTGTGTGTGTGTGTGTGTGTGTGTGTGTAAGAAGTTTTACATCTATTACCACGTTCCTATTTCACAGTATTGTCATGTTTTGGAATTTCACCCCCCCCAAAAAAATTCCATTAGTACTCACTTTCTCTCTTCTTCCATTCTCAAACCTACACAATCAGTAATCTAATTTTTGTTTCTGTAAATTTATTTTTATTTATCTTTAGTGGAATTTTACCTTCATAGTAACATTAAGTATTTATAGTACTCATTGAACTTCTAAAGAACATGTAGGGGTGGTAAGAGATGGTTTTGGGTAGCTAGAAATTTGAAGATCCTAACCCTCTCTTTGAAAATATTGGAAAGTTTCTGAGGACTAAATCTTATTTATGTTCTCAAAGCTTTTTGAAGCCACCCTCAAGTACTACTGAATTTTCACTGTGTG